AATATTGCCTAAATAGTAAATGTTTATTTGATATTCTTTAATAGGGATGTAATGATATCCAAATCTCTCGATACGATATTTTCACGATATGAAGCTCACGGTACGATATTTATTGTGATATTTTGTGGAGGCTAACAAAACTGTGAACATGCTACTTTTTCCTCTTAAAATGCCTTGATAAGACTTAATCCAATGAACTAAGATTTAGCAAAGGATCATGGTCTATGTAGTTCCCTCTGTTAATTCTTAATTTAAAGTTTGTATGGAGGATTTTTTTTTTTTTAGTTTCAAATTGTCAGTGAAAGTTTAAAATACTGTTACAGAGACGCAGCAGCTTTGGAATTATGATGACTAAAAAAAAAAGAATGAAAATCCATCAACTGTGGACATGTTGAGGCCACATAAACATCAGCCAATAGAAAACGAGGCTGCCTCTTTATCTATTGGCTGTCAGATTGTCAATCAAACTCCCCACACACAGGGATTTCGTGGTTTATGTGGCGTTTTTCAAGGCTTTTTCAAACTGTCGCTTCCTCGCAGTTTGCACAAAGTTTGTTGCGATGTCGGACGAGAATCCAGGACCAGTTCACCGTAAAAAAAAGTCGGTTTTTGAGGTCGCTGAAAGACGAAGAGAAGGGAAAAAGGAGCGAAGACAAACTGAGGTGATTCTTGGAGATTCCTTCCAGCGATGGCGCGACCGAAGCAGACGAAGGGTCTAAAAACAGACGAGTCGGTCAGAATTATTTCTAGACAGGAAACTTCAACAGTAATTCTGAACGTCCACGGTTGTAAACAAGTGTGATTTCTAGAGTAAAGAGGCGGGAGGAGGAGATGTTTCTACTGATGGAGCTGTGGAGGAGGAACATGCACTTGGACGATCGCCGTATTTCTCTTCGCTTAAAAAATCCTCTATACAACCTTTAAGCAAAGAAACTTGTAATTCAATATATTGTGATGGTCCACGATATTATTGAGTGACTTTTGATGATACGGTATCATGATATTTCAGTTATTGTTACATTTATATTCCAGTAGCCTTTCCAGCAAGTATACCAGTTTGGTTTTCATTCATATTAGGCTAGACATCAAACAAAACTACAATTCAAAAAAAAATGTAAGTGCTTTAAAGTGGATAAACCCACAATAACTGAGTTATTATCCTTTTGGCACAAGTCTGCTCAGCCACAGTAGATAGGCTAATAATGTAAACAGAAGCTCAAGTAAATGTCAATAAGTGTGTGCTTGTGACCTCATACGCTTAAATATTTCCACACTGCCAGCGCCAGATCACTGTGCCATTGCTTGTTGTTTTATTGCGTCATTGCGTCACTCGCCACTATTTGGCCTTACTTTTAAATCACTCTACGAAAGAATGTGGCTTTTTTTTTTTCAATATTTGGTCAAATATATTCAGTTGCCAACTATTTGGTGCATCCTAATCAAAATCGGTAGCAGAAATAAAAACTGGATCAGTGCACCCGTAAATTAGTGGTTAATTTACTGCACTGTTAAATATGCCACATTCCAATTAGGAAGCGAGCATGGGCACTCTTCTGGCTCCAATTCACTTTCTATTGAAAACTCTTCACCCCTCTCTCTGTAACTGCTGTTTTTCGGGATTGTCATTTTGGTCTTAAACTGTTCGTATTAACCAGCTCTGTGTGATCCTGGCATTTTTATTTCCCTATTTTGTTTGTAAATCAAGATACTGTATAACTACGGACTAATCTGGCGTGTTCTTTACTTGAGGTTGCTCCTGTTAGGTTTGATTGACAGTGTTACTAAGCGCCCACTCCCTGCTAAACCAGCGAGGGGAGGACAGGAGGTGGCATTACGTTCAACGGCCTTGCTTCTGATTGGCTCTTTGGTTGCTATGATACTCACGATCGGAATTCCAAATAAGGAACTGGCTCAAAATTCCAATGAGGTTAATTTAGTCTTCCAATAATTCATGTTGTTAGGTTAATTTTTCCAACCAAAAGAACCTAATAACATAGGCTCAAATTTTGTCGCTATAACTCCCAGCCTCGATGAGCTTCATTTGACTAGAGCTGAACGCCATGGTTAACGTCATGCTCCGTTAGTCCACTTCTTTATACAGTCTATGGTCATACTTATTAGTTCCTTTGTTGCTTCTTCAGTACAAAACCACCTCTGTCTGTATTGTGGCAATGACGGACATTTCAATTACAAATCAAAACAGCATAATTCACAATCAGAGCACGTCTCTTGACCGTAATTAGTTTTTATTTAAAGAAAACAAAACCTGAAACTGAAGTAACTGATATTGTTGCCTCAAATCGACAGACCGAAACTACAGGCAAGCCCTATTTCTGGGGGGTTGCTGTGTGAATGAGATGAAAACACCTCTATTTTTCTAAATATATGCTGCTTATGTGAGAGAACGGCGCATTGTTATTCATAGAGACTGCTATGCACCCGCTTCACTGGGCTAGCAATGCTTTACCCTCCGCGTCGCTCTCAGGCAAAGTTTAAGAGGTCAATTTTGTCCAGGAAAAACTTGTCCAGAATTGCCTGAAGCTGCCAAAGTTTGTACCACAAAAGTGACGCTCGAGGCTCTCGCTACAATAAATCTGCCAAAAACTGTTCAAAAAACCAGCACAAAAATCAACCAAAGTTCCCACTAGTAACTTTAAAGCAATTCTGAAAGTGACTGCATTCCGCCACTACTTCTCCGAGATGACACCCTGAAAACAACGGGATGGCGGCGGCGTGATTTGGCTCAGCGGAGAGGAGAACTGTCTGGAGATTTAGATGAGAGAGGAGCTGAGGGCTTTGTCACTCTTCTGAAGTAACTGACACAGAAGTGCAAGAAGCTGGAACGCATTTGTAAAACTGTATTAAGCCAGGCCTTGGGGAGGGACCAGTGTGATAGGTGCAACAGGAAGTGTAATTACCGGCTCTCGTAAGCTCCAGTGTTTCCTCAGTCACACTCAAATAATTACACGGTTTCATAACAGCCACCCCTTGGATCATTTTAAAGTGAAAGTTATGTGTGTAATGAATTATGAAAGATTGCAGTAACGCAGTGCAGTTGGGGTTTACTTTTCAGTTTTAAGCATTGGTTGTTGAGAAGGTGACGGGGCAGAATAAAGTCTGTTAAAACCTCCGTAAAGATTTATATTTATGTCACAACAACTGTTTAAAGATGACAAACTGCTTAAGAAAAGGGCATGCATTTTAAGACATAAGCTGTAAGCTGTTGTGCCGACCAGACTGTTGATACAATTCTCAAAGCTAAGCGGGGTCGGGCCTGGTTAGTATTTGGACGGGAGGCCACTGGGAATACCAGGTGTCACAGTACTACAGCTGGGGCTATAGTGCAAACTGTATTGTTTCCTTAGCCAAGACACTTACCGTACTCTGAATATATGACTTATATAATATGGAGCGACTTCTAGTATAGTTTGCACCAGGAAAAAAATGTGTAATGAAGGAAAAAAAAAAAAAAACATATAAATTGCTTCGGATTATAAGATTATAAGGGGAAAGGTATTTTATAAAATCAGAGACCAGGAACTGACATTTCATCTCGATGATCATGTTGATCATCATGTTAATGTAACATATGAACGATTATTCAGATAATTATAACATAAACAACAGAACATAAGGTTACCAAACTCATAATCTCACTCCAAATCAATAAATCCATTGAATTCTTCATTCTCTATGTCACTTCTGAGCAACTCCTCGACCTCCGGAGGTAAACGGAGCGCCGCTTCCTCTTCTGCGTTGCTGTTGTGAGACTCAGCATCAGTTCCAGTTAGGATTATTTCAGCCTTTCTGAATCCCGACAGGATGGTTTCAGTGTCACTGAAGTCCAGGCTTTGTCGATTCATCCAATGACTTCCAGGAAAATTGCATGGTGCACCCTCCCTTTTCCCGTGAAGCTGTGTTCTTCTTTCTGCCAGTCTCGCTCACTCCAAACTTTCTTTCTGCTGCTCGATTACCATTGGCTGCATAATTCACTACTTGCAGCAGGACAGCGGCTCTTTCTGTAGGAGCTGATGGCACAGAAATGCAGTCTTGCTTCCATCAGTGTGTCTCAGGGCAGCTGTATAAAGTGTAGTTTAGCACTAGAGACTGTGGAGTGAATGAATATTTAAAGTACGTTGGGTGTCTTAAAAGGCGCTATATAAATCCAATGCATTATGATGCCTCACTCACAGTGCCTGGTGAGTCATGAAATAGAAAGCAGGTTTGTTCAGATATGGACAGGACAAGACCTGGACACAGACTGCAGCCCCCCGGCAGTCCTCCTCTCTTCCTCTAGTCTTCCTCCAGAGCCTCTGAGGGTCTGTTTACACGAGAACACTTGTGGGTAAAAACAACAAAATATTTTATCGTAAGTGCCATTCGTTTAGACGGCGCTTTGGGGGCTTAAAAACACAAAAATCTGAAACCACCCTCCAGAGTGGAAAAGTTGAATATGCTCCGTCGTAGAGTTTCCGTCGCGTTCACGTTTACGTCACATGCATCATCACCAATAGAATTCTACACACTTTTGCGTCACTGTATGCTCGCAGATTTCCTCCTGAAAACACTTGTTTAAACGGGGAATAAAAAGTGAAGACACAACGCCACTTTTGGATCTTCTGTTCAGACTGTCATCATATAAACGTAGCCTGAGCTCTGAGTGAATGTTTATATGAGAAAAACAAAACATGCATTTCCCAGTGTAATCACCATCATGAGTTGGTTTGGCCTCAAGATTAACATGTGGAATTAAAACAATACAGGGTTTCATAAAGATTTTTACAACAGATGTGTGGTCTGATTGTATTTATGTGTAAATATTAACAAGTAAGATGGAACAAAAAGAGCGTACATGAAAGGTTTTCGAATATCTACAAACCAAAATAATTCTAAAGATACCGTATATTGTATAGAAGTATAAGTCTTTGTGTTTACTGCATGTGTCCCTGTTCATGTTGTTATCTAACTGTATTTGTATTTGTTTTGTGTGTTGCTTTCAGGCGTGCTGAGTCTGCCAGAGGGCCTGCCGCTGCACAGGGACCAGCCGGTCAGAGTGGGGAAGAGCACAGAGGCCAGTGTCCACAGTCAGGCTGAACTGCGCTCCATTGAACAGTGTTTACTGGCCACCAGAGTGGGCAGCATCTCCGAGCTCAGTAAGTGCCTCTCCGCGCACAAAGCCACATCTCTGTTTCACCGCAGACAGACGCTGGCGACTACTGTGCTCGAAACAATCTCAGCTGCTACAAAAGTTTACTCTAGTCTAATAGGTGAAGTTGGACAACAAAACTTTGGGTTAAACTGGAGACAGTGCATTTATTTATTTATTTACAAAACATCTACAAACATTTAGCCAAGAGTTAAACAAATATATTATCAACATCAACATATTATAATGAATGAGGTTTGGCCATTTATGTTTGGGATGTGTAGGGATCTTTCTAAATCTACATTCCTATTGTTCTACGTGCATCTCTATTGGTGGAATGTTCAGCAGTTACAATGGTGACACAATGCACACTTTACCAAACACGGATTAAAAAAAAAAGTTTTAAAATAGTCAGAAAACTCAATAAAAATACAAAATGGATTTAAGCAGCACATTTTCAGGAGCTTGTGGTCAATATGAGCGTTCACGGCCCTGTTTAGGTGTTTGATTTTCAACAAAAAGGTGAGAAACGTTGGCTCATGCTCGCTCGCCTGTGGCTGTTTGTGTGAAAGACCTGTTTAATAGCACAAATCAGCTTACCTGTTGTAGTTCCAACCGTGTCGACTCCATCTGGTCAGATTGTGTTAAAATAAACCTTAAATTAAAGGGTAACTTGAGTAACAGAGTTTCAGACAGAGTAGTACTTTTAGTTAGCATGACACCCCCAGAGAATGTTGATTGCACTGGCTTTCTGTGAGCTTCCACTTAGTGTCTCCAGTCAATTTCATTTCTCTCCAGCGACTAGGTCATGAATCAGAATACACTACTAGATGGTTCACAAAAACCCCGGAAGTGCGAGTTCGGGCACCAGCCAATCAGCAAAGAGCCATACATTCTGTGTTGACAACGATTCCTGAGATCGAGGATTTAAAGCCGGAACAAAGAGAATGTTTGGTAAATTTTATCAAGGGGAAAGACGTTATTGCCCTTCTTCCTACGGGATTTGGGAAAAGCTTAATATACCAGTTAGCCTCATTAGCGGCACATTACATATGTCACGACCAAATAGCAGCAATTGGTTAAATAAAAAAAGTACCCACCTACCGTCGAGCGAACAAATCCTAATGCTGCGAGGTCAGACGGTTTCTACAAAGTGAAACTGGCTGATGAATCAGGCTGGTGAACTTCAGGATAGATTTCTTTTTAGAAAGTTCTTTTATTGGTTTATAAAGCTCCTAATGGTCTTAGTCCTATTTATTTATCTGATCTGCTTTTATCACATGAGCCTCTTGGACTCTCAGGTCCTCAGGTCTCATCTTTTAACTTCCCCAAGAGTCCAAACTAAAACTCACGGTGAGGCATCATTCAGCTTTTACGGCCCACGTCTGTGGAAGAATCGACCTGAGGATCTGAGGTCTGCTGCGAGTGTTCATATTTTTACAAGTAAACTCAAAACATATCTTTTCAATTTAGCTTCTAATTGATGATATTTGATAATTTATTAAACGATAAATGATATTTGTTTAAATTAAATTAGTATTTTTATTGTACGTTGTCTCCATCTACTTTTAGCTCTCCATTTTTTATTTTTACTATAACCTTTAGGAGTATGGTGGGGTAAGGGTTGCTGTTGTTTTTAATCATTGTCATTTTTCTGTTGCATGTGAAGCACTTTGTGTTGCATTTCAAATGTATGAAAAGTGCTATATAAATAAAGATTGGAAGATTGATTGCATTGGCTGTAAAATATCAATAGTAGTTTGATCGTTGGCGTGAGTTAAATCCCTATTAGATATTTTGCGGTGACATTATGCTGGGGGTGATCTACATGTATCTCTAATGGTAGTTCATGGAGTTACTATGATAACACAACGCATACATGAGCAAGCACAGCCAAAAAAGTGATAAAAAACACCAATGGATTTTAAGAACACATTTTCAGGAGTGTGTGTGATCAATATGAACAGTCATGGCCTTGTGTTTGATTTCAACAAAAAGGTGAAAGCATCGAACTGAAAAACTGCGACTGTAATTTTGAGAGTACGGTTTGAGAGACTGATTCAACAGCACAAATCATCTCACCTCCTGTAATCCCAAATAACTCATCTCTTTCTGGTCAAACTGTGTTAAAATAAAGCTGAGATTAAAGTCTAAAGACAGAGCAGTGCCTACATTTAGCACCACATCCCCCGGTGAGCGTTGATGACATCAGTTGTAGCAATGCTTGCAAACGGCACACTTTAACAAATACGCGCAGGTACTATAGACTGCAAAGAGCCTGCTCCATTGATCTGAAGAGAACGCTTAATTCCCCCAATGAGATCTGGGAGCAAATAGTGGATAAATACAATCTGGAGAGCGCCAAGGAGCTGTAGCCCAAATTGCTGACATCTGGGGTTTTGGGCTCGCATTCAAACACTTTAAATTGGACTGTTTTTCAGCTAGAAATAGTCCCCGTTCAATACTTGGTGTTTTCCCCCAGAATCTTGTACTGGAAATGAGAATCTAAGCAGAGTTTAATATATGAGATCATGTGTGGACAGCATAATGATAGCGATGTGACAGTCGTATCTCTCACAGTGGAACACGGAGTTCTTTGACACATAACGGCATTTTCGATTTCAAGTTCCACTATTAAAGAAATGTTAAAGTGTTCATTGTACTGAGAAGAAGTATTACTCTACTTATGTGAAATGTTCAGACAAAATAAAAAAAAATAAATGTACCAAGAAAACTTTTAACAGATAAACTTCTGAATACAAAGCACATACTTAAAGGTCCTATATGGGGCTGGGTATCATTAAGAAGTTGCCGATACGATACATATCTCGATACATAGGTCACGATACGATACATATCTCGATACATAGGCCACGATACCATACATATCTCGATACATAGGTCACGATATGATACACATCTCGATACAAAGGCCACGATACGATACATATCTCGATACATAGGCCACGATACCATACATATCTCGATACATAGGCCACGATACGATACATATCTCGATACAAAGGCCACGATACGATACATGTCTCGATACATAGGCCACGATACGATACATATCTCGATACATAGGTCACGATATGATACACATCTCGATACAAAGGCCACGATACGATACATATCTCGATACATAGGCCACGATACCATACATATCTCGATACATAAGCCACGATACCATACATATCTCGATACAAAGACCACGATACGATACATATCTCGATACATAGGCCACGATACGATACATATCTCGATACATAGGCCACGATACGATACATAGGCCACGATACAATACATATCTCGATACTGTGCACTTTTGATTCAATATGATAAAAAAATAAATAAAAAAGCCTAAATCATGGCTGTGATACTAAGAGTCTTTGTTAAAGTTCATATGAAACACCCATTTTAATCAACACAGTGAAAATGTCAAATGTGTTGCATTTCCTTCCTCTGAACAAGCATCAAAACTGTAGCGCAACTGTAACAAAATCATTTAATAAAATATACCAAAAAAATACTCTTGGCGATATATCGATACAGAAACCCACAATATCGATACTGTATCATCAAATTAAACAACAAGATATATCGATATTTCAATATTTTTGCACACCCCTAGTCCTACATTACACTTTTTTTTTTTTATCTCATACCTGGAATTTTTGGTAGATTCGAGGTCTGAAATAATCCAAATTATTCTGGTGAAGGTGTATGGAGTGTTTTTTTTTTTATTTTTTATTCTGACTTAATTGTTCTGGATTAAATAGTTCAGAATTAAAATATTCAGCTTCAACTTTATGTGGAAATAATAATTCAGAGTTGAAGTTTGCATGGAAAACACATTAAATCGCCTTTATTTAATTCCGCTCAACGTCTCGGGGTCGGTTAGGGTTCTGATTGGACAGGGGGCGCACAAACGAATTTAGGTCGACCAGAAGAAAACACACATTTCAGCTGCTATCGGCTTTTTTGTCATCTCGGCTTGTCGTTATGCCACGGACACAAAAACTTAATCCAAACTTTTTTCACAGTCATTCTGATGATAATGAAGCAGCAGCTGGAGAATTGTCTCATCACGCTTTACATCTGTGAGCTGACGAGGAGAAGGGAAGAGTGTCAGAGAAGGGAGGAAGAAGACAAACTGAGTCAATGGCTGCTCTACCTCAGCCCACTCCCGAATCCCGCTCACAAATCCAAAGAGACGTGGATGAAAGACCAAAGCCAGGACTGGTGGAGAAGGATTGTCCAGAAGGGCAACCCATCGACCATGCGCCGAACGAACGCAATTATTTTTAAGAAGATTAAACGTTTACATGATCGAGGAATAAATTAATTTGGCTTTAAAATCAGAATAAACCACCCACTTACTTCAGAATTAAGTTTAATTCCGAATTCATTTCATTAGGAATTAAGTGCTTACATGGTCTTGCTAAAGCAAAATACTTTTTTTTTTTCAGAATTAAATTGTTTTTATTCGGAATTATAGCTCTCTTGTAAATGTGGCAAGTGGAGCTCCTGTATAGCTCCTGTATTACCACAACGTGGAACAGTGTTTTCTGTTTGTGAGAAGAGCTCAGCGTAAATATGCAAGGTTTGTGTGCCAAAGATGTGTGAATGAAACAAAACACAATTTAGGGATTAGGAAACAACATTTTAACTCTGATTAAAAATTGTGTAACTTGGGGCCTTTAAATGGTCCTTAGATACATGCATGTTTTTGAAAATGAAATTAAATTACTGTCATAAATGTATTCAAAAACCACAAAACAACATCTGCAAAAACAGTCTCATTAGTTGTTAGAATTATGTATTTTTTATTATTTTGTCCTCGCTCAGTTTGGTGCCAAATAATTGTGCTTTTATAACACGATGCTCTGTTAACAGTTGCATCCTCGTTCTCAGAGAGCTCAGGTCTAACTGTGAAACTTTGAAAATATTAACAATAAATATTCAAAATAAAATTTCAAACCATGAGTCAGGAACATGTTTTAGTTTGAACTTTCTGTCTCTGTGATATTGCACATGACACAGAAAAGTCTGTAGTGTTAGACAATTGTTTCCTTATAGTTCTTCAATTTCCATCTAATCCTTATAGGCCTGTCACCA